TTTCTCCTCCCTGCAGACCCCAGCTGCTCAAGCGATATTGAATGATGGCGACAGTGCGCCGCGTTGTGTGTGTGTTGGCCGCTGCTCTCTGTTGTGTGTCCTTGTGCGTGACGGCTGACGGCGCTGCTGATAAGAAGGCTTCGATTAAGGAAAGGGTGACTGTGCTGACCGATGCCGCGACGAAAACACTGCAAGCGCTGGAGGATGTTGGCCGGGTTTTCTCCAGAGCCAACAGTGCATTGGGTGAAACTATGGCGGTGACGAAGAGTGCTGATAACGCAAAGCCGCACGTCGATAAAGTGTTGGCCGAGACGGGGAGTGCAGTGAGTGAAGCTGACAGCGCAGCGAAGGAGATTGAAAAATGCTTCCTGGCGGACTCTAGTATCAGTGTGAAAAGGTTGTTGGTTGCGTGTAATCTTTCAGGTGCTGCGATGAATGCGCGAACTGCGGCGGATAAAGCTAACAGGGCTTCTGGTGATGCTGCAACTGTCGCTCGTTTTCTTCAGACTGCTAAAGAGTCTGCTAATGAGTTGATGCATAATGTTGAAGAGGTACGGAAACTGTGTGAGGCCGCAGTGCAGAGTGCCAAGGTTGCAGCGGAGACAGTAAAGGCGGCAAAGGAAATAAGTGCCAAAGACGTACAGAAACTCTCCGACGTCGCTGGGAAGGTTAGGGAGGCAAACACGAACGCTGCGAATATTGCTTCACGTGCTTCCGAGGCGATGAAGAAGATTGAGCAGACACTGAAGGACATCGAGGGCGCGAAGACAAACGCGGATTTGGCGGCAACGAATGCTACGCACGCAAAAGATAATGTTATGGAGGCACACACGAAATTAAAGGCGGTTAAGGCCGACGAAGAGAACACAGCTTTAAGCACAGAGATAAAGGATTTTGTTGGAAGTGCAAAAGCAAATGCTACAGAATCAAAGAAGAAAGCCGACTTGACAGCAAAGAGTGCAAAAGAAGCCGCGAATAATATTGGTGCTGCAATCGAGGATACTAAACAGGTGGCTGAGCTTGCAGGAAACGCATTGGGCGCCGCTGAAGATGCAATGGATTTGGTCAGGGAAGTCAAAGAAGTTATTGGTGCTGCCCTCAAAAAAGCTCAGAAAGAATCGAAATCATTGACTGATAAAGCGAAAAAGACTCAAAGGGGGGTCTCGGCCTCACATCAAACGCCTGGGGCACTCCCTGTGAATGCAAAGAAGAAACATCCACAAGTTGCGTCACCAACCACGGCCGCTGCGTCTTCTCCTCACACACAGGGCGGCGCAGCTAAAAAGCCTGAGGCCTCGGCTGCTGTTACTGGGACACACCCAATGGGAGAGAGTGACGCAAAGTCGCCCGAAGTGAATGCGTCGCCCGCGGTCGATAAGTCTGATGCTGCAGGAGAAGCAGAGGTTGTGGCTGAAGCAAGCAATGCAGCCACAGACACTCATAACAATCGTGTTAAAGAGCGTTCATCAGCAGAAGAGGAGACAACTGCTGCGTTGCTAACTGTTAAGAAAAGCGATGGGACCGCAGGCAAATATGACATTGGAATGACGGACAGCAGCAGCACCAATCCTGCGTGGGTGCGTGCACCGCTGACGTTCCTTCTTCTTTTGATGGGGGCGCTGGCCTGTCTGGCTGCGTGCTGAGCAGTCTGTGCACGGGAAGGTGGGACCGCAGTAATTGCGTGTGGCCCTTGGGGATGAATGGGCACACGCGTAACATGTTTGCTTTCAACTTCATTTGGTGCCCCGTGAAGGGCGTAAACTCTTTAAACATTCCCTGAAGGCACTTGCTGGGCTGTGTGTCGTCAGGAGGGAGGGATGGGGGCTTTGTTTTATTGTTTTAACTTGTGTTTGGGGCTTCCTTCACGCATGGCTGTGCGTCGCCCACTTAATCGGGTCTTTTCCAACGGTCCTTTCTCTGTGTGTGTGTGTGTGTGTGCTGGGCTGCTGCCGTTGGGGTGTGCGGGCCTGCGTGGCCGTGTGGTGCTGCTCTCCCCGCTGTGTGTGTGCCGCACCGGCTCCTTTTTTCTCCCCCTCGCGGAGACAAGCGACTCAAGCGACTTGTGACCATGACGATGAGTGCGCGCCACGTGCCGTTCTTGCTGGCCGCTCTGCTGTGCGGCGTGTGCGTGTGTGTGGCGGCTGCGGCGGGTGGTAAGACTCCTATTCCAGGTTCACCGAAGGTAGGGGTTTCGAAGGCTCGTCTACGGGCTGATGCTGAAGCACAAGTTAAGTCTGAGATAAAGACTGCAGAGCTATTGCTCCAGGAATCGAAAGCAGCGGTGGATGCAGCGAAAGAAGCCACGGTTGCAGTGAAGGCCGCCACAAGCGCACTTGGCAAAGTCAAAGAAGCAGCCTCAAGTGCCAAGAAAGCAAAGAGTGAGGCTGATGCAGTGGCTGCAACAGTGAGGAGTGCAGCTGCAAAGGTTGCAGATGCACAGAGTGCCACTAAGAGCGCCAAGGCTCACGCTGAGGAAGCCAGGGTGCAAGCTGACGGGGCCGCGGGGAAGGCTGTTAGTGCGAGGAAGGTGGCGGAGAATGCAGCACAGCAGGCTGCCGGCGCACTGGAAGCGACGGAGCAGGCGGACGCGAAGGCGAGGAAGCTGGCGGAGGAGCTGCAGGGGGCTGCTGGAAGTGCAAATGCGCCGAAGAGCGACAGATCGGAGTCATGGCGCAGTGCCCTGCAGCGCGCTGAGGAGGCGAAGAATGAGGCCGCGGGGGCGGCAGCGATGGCGGCGG